GGATTTGCCCACAAAATATCCTTTGATGTGAGGGAGAGGATTGAATCCTGGCCCAGGAGATCTGCTGGCTGTGGCAGGAGCTGTCAGGGATGTGCCCAGGAGGAGGGGGATGGCTGTCCAACCCCTGTGACTTGGACAGCATCACGTTGTCACTGGGGTGGTAGGAAAGTCATTCCACAGAATCCCAGACTGCTCTGGGTGGGAAGAGACCTCAAAGCTCGTCCCATTCCACCCCTGCCATGGACAGGGACACCTCCCACTGTCCCAGGTGGCTCCAACCCCTCCAGCCTGGCCTTGGACACTCCCAGGGATGGGCCAGGATGAGTCTGTTTTCAGTCTTAGCTCTTACCTGCCAGATGTGAACTTTATTCCCTAATTACACCTATTACACTTTAGAATATAAAAGTTATTATAGAAAAGCTTGGGGAAAAGGAGTCCCTCAACTTTCCTTTTTCCTCAAAGTCCTTGAAGAGGTCCCAGCCCCGGGGCTGCCGGAGCTCCAGGAGGGTTTGGACAGCGCTGCCAGGGATCAGGGGCTGGATCAGTGATCCCTGTGGGCAACTCAGGATATTCCCTGATTCCATCAGTTCTCTTTCAGTGAATCCATAAACTCCTGAGGAGATAAAGAATTCTGTATGATTTAATATGAACCAAGTAAAAGCTGTTTATTGTGGTTTTAAACATTGTTTATATTTACTTTTTATCATGGTTTATACAGTCATGTATTGTTTGATTGGTTGCTTTGCTTTTTTTACTCATTTCTTGATGGGCAGCTCTATTTTGTCTGCTAGGCAAGCACAAGTCTTTTTTCTCAATCTAATTGGTTGGTTTAACATTATTTTACTTGTTTTGACACCCCTTTGTTTGTTAACAACTGTTCTGCTTCTTTTTTTTTTGCAACATTACTTTTTTTATCTACAAAGACGACCTTATTCTTTTATTCCAGAAGGCTAAACTAATTAATTTAGTAAATGCTCATTTTCCCATAAATGGGATCCCACAACTTCCCACTCCTGATAACAACTGCTTTCCCTTTCTCCCGCAGGTGTTTGCCCTGGCTGAGAGTCTGGGTGGCTACGAGAGCCTGGCAGAGCATCCGTGAGTTCATCCTTCCCATCCTTCCCATCCTTCCCATCCTTCCCATCATTCCCATCCTTCCCAGGAAGTGTTGCCAGGAGCTCTTTGCACCTGTGGGGTCCCATGAGTGGCACAGAGGAGGTGTCAGATCCTGCTGCCATTGCAGGGGTGCTGGCAGGGAACCAGCCTGGCTGCTTCTGCCAATAAAACTCCCAAATTCTTGAGATCAATGATGGTTTTTATCCCTGCAGGGCCATCATGACCCACGCCTCAGTGCCTGAGAAGGAAAGGAAAGCTCTGGGAATCACTGACACCTTGATCCGCCTCTCGGTGGGGCTGGAGGATGAGGAGGATTTGATCGAAGACCTAAAGCAGGCCCTGGAGACTGCGGTGAGTGAGGAGTTCCTCTCCAGAAATAATCCCAAATCAACCTTTCCCATGGGATGAGCCTTCAGCTCCTCCCAGATGGACCCTGGGCAGTTCCCCATGGATTCAGGAGCACTTGGGATGTCCCAGGCACAGTTCCCATGGATTCAGGAGCAGTTGGGATGTCCCAGGCACAGTTCCCATGGATTGAGGAGCAGTTGGGATGTCCCAGGCACAGTTCCCATGGATTCAGGAGCAGTTGGGATGTCCCAGGCACAGTTCCCATGGATTCAGGAGCAGTTGGGATGTCCCAGGCACAGTTCCCATGGATTCAGGAGCAGTTGGGATGTCCCAGGCACAGTTCCCATGGATTCAGGAACAGCTGGGATGTCCCAGGGGTTGCAGTGATGGGAATTTCCCTGCTCAGGTCAGGCTGAGGGAGACTCACTCAGGGCTCAGGGTGAGTTTCAGGTTTGTCAGGGAGGAGTTTCAGAGAGGGTAGGAAAGGTTTGTTCCTGTATTTTCTCTTTTTATGTGTGGTTGTTTTTTATTGGGGGGAATGTTGGGCTTTTCTTATGAGAGGGAAAATTATCATCAGTAACTCCACATATTTCTCTTTGCCAGCACGAAAACAAAATCTAATGCTAAAATGTGACTTTTTTTTATGTGAAGGAAAATAAAAATGTGTGGCTGATAGAGGGGCAGAGCCCAATGATCCCTCCCTTTCCTTCCTGCAGTTTAAATAAACCTTGGGGGTCAAAAAGGAACTTGGAACTGGACATGGCTGTGGACAAGGACACGGAAAACCAAACCTCTCTTGCTTTGCCTTTGCTTTGCCAGCAGAGCTCAGTGTTTCTCCTGCTGCTGCAGGTTTGGGGCACAAGGGCTGGTTCGTGCTGCTGCTCTCAGGTCATTCTCTTCTCACCCATCAGCTCAGAAACTTGATTGAGATCAGATTTATTTTAATTAAGTTGGAAATTTGCAGAAGAGCTTTTTCTTCTCTTGATTCTTTATGAAGCATTGAAAATGAAGTGAAATCCAACACCTGGCAAATAACAACTTTCTAAAGATGAATCTTTGTCATTTGAAAAAATCATGTGCTGTGGGAATGATTGGAATCATTTTAATTAAAACACTCTTTTCCTTTCCTTGCATATATTCCCATGTGCACATGCTCCTTGTGTTCAAAATCATGGGATGGAGTGACCCTGGAGCTGTTGGAATTTCCCTGTGGGGAAGGCAGGAGGGCTGGAGCTGAGGGGAGAGGGGGGAGATGGAGCTGAGGGGAGAGGGGGGAGATGGAGCTGAGGGGAG